GACATTGCTGGTAAACCCGTGTGTCTTATTAGTGGAGCTAATGTGGCTGTAATTAAGGAATTTAATTTAAGACGGCACTACGAGACAAAACGTCAGGATAAGCTGAAAAACCAAAATGCAGAAACTACAGAAAGTAGAAGAGCTAAAGAAGAATCTGACATTTCAGCAGACGTTTGTCACCAGAGCAAAATCACAAAGTGAAGCTGTTGTGAAAGCAAGTTTTATTGTAGCAGAGGAGCCAAATCAGCCCGGTACCACTCTGAAGAGCTGCATGATGAAGCTGTGCGACGTCTTGTGTCCAGACAAAACGCAGATTTTGGCAAATGTGAGCCTGAGCAGAAATACGATTGCTGATCGGGTTTGTGAGATGGCCACTGATTTAAGAACACAGTTGTGTGAAAGAAGCAAAAACTTTATTGCATACTCTCTTGCTGTGGATGAAAGTACAGACATGATGGACATGCACCATAGCTGGACTGGCCATCGAGGCATACCGGGATTTGCTCGGTGTGGCCGATGATTTTTTTTTTTTTGTAACGGTATAAACAATGAAAGGTGGTGGATTGGCCAGATGCTGGCCGGTGTGTAAAAATAACTCAGTTGTTTGGTGGTGGCTATCACGGAGCTTCCACAGATTCAGTAACATTAGCAAGTCGTGGAGGCCAGCAGGTGGATGAGAGAAAGGGGAGGCAGGAGAAGGAGAGACCCGAGGCAGACGCAGGTCCGAGTGTCAGGTGAACTGAACTTCAGGTAAGAAGTTATGACCTGCAGTCTCTCTGGGTCAGATATAAACCAAGTTTAGGTGGAGTTTATTTTCGTTGTGCTGACTTTTTACAGTCAGTTACAATAACTCGTACTGCGTACTAGCTAGCATGACAGAGTTTCTATACAGCTGGGTGGGTGCTATGATGTTACTTTATTTTATTTATAAGGTTAGTTATTAGAGTTGCCAAATCCCGTAAAAACGGAATCGTTTGTCCCGAACTTCAGCTAGAATGAAAAAGAGACACAAAGCTGCAGTTATTCTGTTTTACGCTGCACAGCTGCCTCTTCTTCTCTCATTCTCCCCCTCCCTCTCCTGTTTCTACTTCAATCATGAAACTGATCAATGATCAGCTGATCGGCTCTCTTGTTTGTTTATCGCTCACTTTGCGCCAGAAAGAGGAAACCAGCGGATGTCGCGCTAAACAACAGCAGCACGTTTAAGCTTGATCAGCTGTTGTTAGAATTTATTTAATATTAATTTCTAGTATCAGCTGATGTTTGCTGGAGCCACAGCTGTAAAGCTGCTGGTCATGATATGGTTTGGTTATCTGGTGAGAGGGAAACATGAAGATGAAACCAGGAGATGTCCTTACTGAATCATCAGAGCTGTGATGGAGAAACAGGTTTACCTTTTAGGTGACATGGATGAGTTGAAGTTATGAACTGTTTCTGAGAGACAAATAACACCAGGATCCTTTTTTAGGTAGCTGACAGCTGGTAACTGTGCAGGGGCGGGTCTAGCAAAGTTTTGCCAGGGGGCAGGTAGGGCATTAACAGGGAAGGGGGCACAAAGAAATACTTTTCTTTCTTATTCTCATTTAAAATGTCTCGCTTTTAACAAATAATTATCTGAATCTTACAACAAACGTTTTCATCTGATGTAAAATGTATAGAAATCCATTATTGTACATAGTAATTTTTTTTAGGGTCCCATCATAATTTCTTCAGAAGTAGCTAAGTACTGTATATGATGCCAGTATTTTCCCACATTTTCTAGATACTGTACCAGTACTGTGTGTAAAATGCCATCAAAAAGTCAATTAAGTTTTATTCTTTCTCACCTGTCTTTCTGTCTCCTTTCACTTTTTATCCATGTTAGAAAAAATATTTTGCCCTGCCATGCTGTTTATTGATGTGGTAAATAATAGGTTTATGAAAATATACTAAATCTGTCATTTTTTTTACAGTAATGATCATGTCTCACCTCTAGTCTTCTCTGTCTTAATTTCAGGTTTCTCACCATGTTGTAGATAGTTCAGGAGGTTAACTCAACCAAGCAGTCTGGGATTTCGGCTGTACTGTTTAGAATACCAGAATAGGGAGGATGGTGTAGGTTTAAGTTTATTAGATCTGATACATATATACCAACAAGACAGTGTACATCACTGTCACAACAGCGTTTGTTTTCATTCAAAAGGTTTATGGTTTTTCCTGTAATACCTGGTGGGCCGGTCACTAGTCAAAATGCCTGGGCCGATTTTTTGTCCCAGTCCAGCCCTGACAGCTGGCCATCTTCATCCTTGGAGAGGAAATATTGGGCATTAAATCGATGCACGGGACAACAACAGGAAAAGCAATTTTTTAAAACGTGTAACCGACATGAAACTGCCCTGGGACAAACTTGTTGGACTTACAACAGATGGAGCGCTGGTGTTGTGCGGTGAAAAAAGTGGACTAGTCAGCAGGATGCTATGGGGCGCCGTTTGTAAAGTGAAACATGCTGAAATTAACGGCAACATTTTTCCACATTTAGCTCAAAACCTTACAAAAACATGTTTTTTCGAGTAATTTTTTACAACATTTAGTAAAATATTTGTAACTTTTCATCAAATGTTAAATATTAAATCTAAATATTATATTTAAATCTAAATGTTACAGAAAACTAAATATTTAGGCTAACATGCAAATTTATTGTACGGATCAACGGAAATACCAAAATAAAAGCTTCCAAAACCTAATCCTTTAACATTTAACATTTAGATTGAATATTTAACATTTAGATTTAACATTTAAAATTCTGTTTTAAATATGAAAAGTTACAAATATTTTACTAAATGTTGTAAAAAATGACTTGTTTTGAGCTAAATGTGGAAAAATGTTGCCGTTAATTTCAGCATGTTTCACTTTACAAACGGCGCCCCATAATTAGCTGATCATTGATCAGTTTCATGACTGAAGAAGCAACAGGAGAGAGAGGGGAGAAGAGGCAGCGTCAGACAGAATAACTCCAGCTTTGTGTCTTTTTTTCCATTGTAGCTGAAGTCGGGACAAACTGTGTTCCTTTTCAGCTCAATACGAAACGCGTAATATTTTCTCTGAATACGGGACGATTCGTTTTTTACGGGACGGTTGGCAACTCTACTAACTAACCTTATGAATAAAATAAAGTTCACTATCAGTAACATCATAGCACCCACCCAGCTGTATAGAAACTCCGTCATGCTAGCTAGTACGCAGTACGAGTTATTGTAACTGACTGTAAAAAGTCAGCACAACGAAAATAAACTCCACCTAAACTTGGTTTATATCTGACCCAGATAGACTGCAGGTCATAACTTCTTACCTGAAGTTCAGTTCACCTGACACTCGGACCGGCAGCGCCTCGGGTCTCTCCTCCTCCTGCCTCCCCTTTCTCTCATCCACCTGCTGGCCTCTGTGGAAGCTCCGCCATAGCCACCACACAAAGTAATGAGTAGTGACCCTATCTAAATCCCAGGAGTATCGGAACAGCTGAGATGCATTTTTTCTAAACACAGCGTCTCTGTGGCTGCCACCAAACAACTGAGTTATTTTTAAACACCGGCCAGCACCAATCCACCACCTTTTATTGTCCATGTCGTTACAAAAACAATAAAATAAAAAAATAATCGGCCCACCGAGCAAATGCCTGATGGCCAGTCCAGCTATAGTCGTGCCGTCAGTTAACCCTACGCGTGCCAGCTGTGGCACGCGTGCCCAAGGTTGCTGACCCTTGAACTAAACAGTCATATATCTGTCTATTTTTAAAAAAAATCAGTGATTTTATAATAAAACTTGGTTACACAAAATGTACAAAACACAACCAAAAGAAATAGAAATAGAACTATTCCCAATAAAATACAAGAAATCAAATCACACACTCTCCAGATTTTTACCAAACATTACAGAAAACAACAAATCAGAAAAGATTAAAATGACTGATTCAACTTACAGTGCAGTACAGAGCAAAACTAACAACTTAAATGAACATCCTGGTACTTAAAGAGCTCAGCCCAGGAAAAATTATTTGATTCATAACTTCAAAAAAAGACAAGAATAAAGGTACCTGATCACCAAATAAGTGTTGTCTTTCTTTGTGATAAAACATTTAACACCCAGAAACAACACACACACAGACAGACACACAATGATAACATTTGAATGACAAAGTCACACTGATTCTGTTCTTTACATATTTGAATATAAATATGTACATTTGTTTATTTGATTTATTTATTTATTTTTGAATGAACGTGAAGTGCATAAGATGCCAATAAACACCAAACTAAAACCAAAGAGAAAAATCAGTTGATGTGAATCTTCATCCATCTTTTCTCCTCTGCTTATCCTAATCAGGGGGTGGAGCCTATCCCAGCTATCATAGAGAGGCAGGGTACACCCTGGACAGGTCACCAGTCTGTCGCAGGGTAACACAGAGAGACAGACAACCATTCACACTCACACTCATGGGTTATTTAGAATCACCAATTAACCCCACTAACTGCATGTGTGTGGACTGTGGGAGGAAACCCAGGCAGACACAGGAAAAACATGCAAACTCCACACACTCCAGGTCAGGGAGTCAAACTCGCAACCTTGTGATGCTGAACCTGGAAA